TCGAAAAAAGACTCAATTTGGGTAATTGTTGACAGACTTATAAAGTCAGCTCACTTCATTCCTGTACGGGTAAATTATACGTTGGACAAGTTGGCGAGGTTGTATATTTCAGAGATTGTTAGATTGCATGGTGTTCCGTTATCTATCATTTCAGATCGAGATCCGAGAGTTACTTCGAGATTTTGGAAGGCGCTACATGCGGCTTTGGGTACGAGATTAGATTATAGTACCTCCTTTCACCCACAAACTGATGGTCAATCAGAGAGAGTAATTCAGATTCTGGAGGATATGTTACGGGGTTGTGTAATTGATTTTCAAGGTAGCTGGGAGAACTTTTTGCCTTTGGCTGAATTCGCTTATAATAATAGTTACCAAACCAGCATTCGTATGGCACCCTATGAAGCACTCTATGGGCGTAGGTGTCGCACCCCGATTTGTTGGACTGAGTTGTGTGATAGGAAGACTTTGGGACCTGAGTTAGTGCGGGAGACAGAGGACAGTTAGATTGATCCGTGACCGTCTGAAAGAGGCATTTGATAGGCAGAAATCTTTTGCAGATCAGAGAAGGAAAGATATACAGTTTGAGGTTGGAGATCAGGTCTTTTTAAAAGTTTCACCCTGGAAGAAAGTATTGAGATTTGGACGTAAGGGTAAACTGAGTCCGCGATTTATTGGGTCGTATCGTATTCTGAAGAAAGTTGGACCTGTTGCTTATCAGCTCAAGTTGCCTTCCCATCTTAGTCGTATTCATGATGTTTTTCATGTGTCTATGTTAAGGTGATACCGTCCAGATCCAAGTCACATAATTCAGGTTGAGGAAGTAGAGCTGAGACCTGATTTATCATATGAGGAGGAGCCCATTCAAATCTTAGAAATAGATGAGCGAGTTCTTCGGAATAGGCGTATTCCAATGGTCAAAGTTCAATGGAGTAACCGAGGCCTCTCAGAAGCTACTTGGGAGACATTGGAGTCAATGGAGGCTCAGTTTCCTCAACTGTTCTCATAAGGCAAATTTCGAGGATGAAATTTCTTGTAGAGGGGGAGAATTGTAACAACCCGAATATTTACAAAATAATATTTAATTGAAATTGGAGGTTAATTGTGAAAATTGGTAAATTGTTGGTGACTAAATTAAAATTTATGAGAGTTTATAGGCCATTTTAGAAATAAAGGAAATCCAGGGACCAAGCCTTTAATTTACCCTAAAACTATCGGTAGCTTTAGGTGATTATAAGCGTGCATTTGGTTCTGATTTTCAGAACCAAAATGCTCCCAATTTTCTTTTCCCATACGCCGTTTCCAACTCCGATTCCGACGCCGTCCAAATTTCGATCGTCATTTTAAAACCACTGTTGTGTTCATCATCGAGCGTGGAACAAATCCTTCAATTTAATTGAAGCGAAACGCTGCCAAACGTCGAGAATTTACAGTCAAAGTCTCGACGTTTTTGTTAGCTCTATCGCCGGGAAAATCTTAAATTCACCGCTGATCGTTGATCCGTTTACGACACCTCCTGCACCATAGTGTTCCTTGTGTTGTTTCGAGTCCGCCGGTGTCAACCTTGTTCGCTGTCGACGGCGACGATTGAGGATGTGAAGCAGTCAAAGATTCGGCCGAGTTGAAATCGAGCTCTCCGCCGTTCAAAAATTTGAACCGATCTTTGTAAGTATCTCGAAATCGCTTAAAATAATTTTTAGAAATTTTTCCGGAATTTTTAGACCCGCGGAAAAGGCCTCACGCGCCGCCGTAGGGAGAGTGGAGGGCTGGAAACCGGTTTGACCGGTTTTCAATCGGTTTCGACCGGTTTGACCATTTTTGACCGGTTCGAATCGGTTTGACCGGTCTGACCTGACCCGACCGTTGACCGTTGACTTCCTTTGACCAAAACTTAAATTGGCTTTGACCGACCCTTAAACGACCGTAAATCTTTTCCGAGTATACCTATTCTGATAATTTTCGACGTCCCAAATCCGTTTCCGAAGTTTGTTTTGTCAAATTCGAACCTGAAGGCCTCCAAATTGACGGTCAAAGTGGTTGAATTTGACTTTGACCAAGAATATGAATTTTCGAAAATTCATACTTTATGTTTTTCGACGTCCTGATTCCGATTCCGCAATTCGTTTGGCCAAATTCAGACTCGAAATACCCCAAAATGATAGTCAAACCAAAAAAATGCTTATATACTTAAGAATTTTAGCTTTGAACAATTAAATAAGATTTGGGGCTGATTAATTATTATTGTTTAAAGGTACAAGAGACTCTCCGGATCGTTCGACAGCTCGACCCATCTCTTCTAGATCAGTTAAACCACGTATACCAGTATTCACCCGTTCGAAAACTGTAGCAGAGCGTGGTGAAACCAGCAATCAGTAGATCTACTATCTGAACCCATTATCGAAGTGTGTTCCTGTTTACTACATAATGGTTTTATATGTTTTGAAATATGGTACATTGAAATCTATGGATTATTATTGTTGGTACACCGATTTATTGTTGATGATTTATGGACTTTGATGACTGGTATATGGATATTGATTTTTGGATGGATTGAACTACAATTGTATAGCTCTGATCAAGCTAATAAACGGGCCTAATGTGACTCTTGAGGGCCCCAAGATGTTTCATTAGGTCGGCTTTCCTTTGCTGTGTGCTTAGGGTAAGCTATATGGACTTATTGACTTGGGCTTAAGGATACAAGCTTCATAGCCTATCCTTAAGTCGGCTTTCTTTTTGCTATGTGCATAAAGTAAGCTATATGGAAAATAATTTTGGGAACTACTGATGGTGTACCAGAAAAGGGTTTAAACTATGATTTTCAAAAGTTAAACTCTTTTACGAATTTGTGAGATTTACTGAACTATGATTTGTTTAATGTACCTATTGTGATTTTATGGTAATGTTGGGACACACTGAGCCTAGCTCACCTTTCAAAAATGTTTTTCCCCTTTCAGATATTGTTGGTTAGATACCTCGGTTCGAGCACTTGGAGGATCAACATATCTCTTGAAGTATATCTGATTGTAATATTTTAAACTTGCAAGTTGACTTTATTCTGGTGACATGGACCTATTTTAAAGTATTGGATTTTATAATGATGATACTTTTGCTATTACTATTCAGTTTATCGTGGTTTTGACTTTTAAGATATGTTTTAAATTAATTTATTACTGATTGGTTTTATAATTAAAAGTTGAGTTTTAATAGTATAATTTATTATAATTTTATGTCATGAATAATGTGGTTTTACATTGATTGGATAACGGTTTTGGAAAATGTCTTTGTGATCCACTAGACTTAGTCGAAACGCATAGGCCGGGTCTAGGGAGTTACACTGCTGATCAAAGCAGTGCTCTTCTAGCTAATGCACGAGAGTATCACAGCATTGTGGGAGCTCTCTTGTATATTTGTCACACTCGACCAGACGTAGCGTTCACCGTAAATAAAGCAGCTCAATTCATGCAATCTCCACGTGAAATACACTTGGTAGTTGTCAAACGCATCCTGCGTTATTTAGCAGGTACACTGGATTATGGACTGATTTTTTCGGACAGTAATGCCAGACTATGTCTTAAAGCATTTTCTGATGCGGATTGGGCTGTGATGCCACTGATCGTAGGTCCATGTATGGGTATTGCATTTTTCTTGGGGGTTGTTTGGTTGCATGGAACTCCAAGAAACAGAAGACTATCTCTCGATCAACAATGGAAGCTGAATACAGAAGTGTTGGTGATTCAGCTGCTGAGATTACTTGGCTTGCTGCTTTACTACGTGATCTTGGGCTATCCTTGAGTGATGCACCTGTGATTTGGTGTGACAACACAAGTGTTGTTGCCTTGAGTATAAACCCGGTGTTTCATGCTCGATCCAAACATGTTGAATTGGATGTGCATTTTGTTCGAGAAAAGATTGCAGCTGGTCATCTTCGGGTTAGTTATGTTCCTGCTACGTTTCAAGTAGCTGATGGGCTCACCAAGCCACTCACTATCAGCATTTGAGCAGTTTCGAGAAAAACTGTGTGTGTTGTATCTTGTTAAGGAAGGGAAGGAAAAGAAGCAGGGAGAATGTTGAGATACATGATGTAGCTGAGGGTGATGTTCACATGATTTAGCAATTGATGCATGGCATACATAAAGAAGCTGGAGTATAACTAATTTGCTTGCGTGTCAAAGTTGTTAGGACTCTATTCTAGAAGCTGTAGGTTGTTATATTTGTTATCAATCTGCTATAAAAGATTAAGCCTAGGTGATGTATAATTCACGTTTTTATGAATAAAAAGTATTTCCAGAATTCAGTTTATTTTCCAAGCTTTGCTTACTGCAATGCTTCACAAAGAGCTATTAACACTTATGTTTTAATAATGTTGTACGTTAAAAACAATTAATCTTAGATTTTAGATAAAATATTATTTTAACTCTAAACTTTTATTTCATTCAATTTTCATATTCTTATAAAAAATTAAAAACTCTCTCAACCCTATAATTTGGTCAAAGTATCCTATCATTAGTCGTTGCTCACCATTATCGATTGTCGTTAGATCTATATTTGTTTCACTTAAAAATACCTCGAACTCCACAAATCTAGCCTAATATGAATGATATTGACATTAAAAAAATTAAAATTTTGAATATTGACATTTTAAAAAAAGAAAATTGGATTAAAAATGTTGTCCTTGTAGTAGATCTTTAATATATTCGATTTAAATTAATGAATTAATGAATTGAATAACGATAAATATAAATATAAAAAAATTAAATCTATATAAATGTAAAAATGTTATTTTTCAATAACTTTAAAATATTAAATTTCTAATCTTAATAAATATAGAAAAAGATTTATTTTATTTCTCATCTTTCTATTATAAGAGGAAAAAAATTATGTTTTCCTATTTTAAATTTTTTTAAAACAAGATTTTATTTTATTTATTAAACACATTTTTTAATTATCAAAACACAACAATTAAAAAATGTTTTAAAAAATAACAATACAAAATATATTGAGAACTCAAAGCATTTGACTAGTCTTCAAACGCCGCCGTCATTCGTGGAGGCAACATAGCATCAAAGAAATCACCGAAGTATCCAGGCGGTTCATACACTAACTTGGATATGATGTCTCGAAGCGTGACCACTCCTTCCAAATTTCCACTGTCGTCGACGACGTACAGCCGTTGGATCTTCACCATGTCAAGCGTCTGAATCAGTTCTTTCACCGTTTGGTCTCTTGTGCAAGTGATCATTCCACTCAACATCGGCGATCTCGTGTCGTGTTCCTCCAAGTGCTTCTTAACTGCTATTAGGAAGTTCTTTGTCGTGATTGATCTATCAATAAATAAAGATGGATACAATATTTCATGTCAGAAAATGGATTTTATAAAGATTCTTTAAAATTTCAGATAACAAAAATATTTTTTTAATAAAAATATACAATAATTTTGAATTTATAAGGGACGACTTAACTCGTCCTTGGATCTATCCTTATCCTTATACATATCCAGAAGACTTGGTTTTAGTTAAACACATGGAATGCAGGATACAAGTTTTGGGCATAATGTTAAAAAATTCTTTTGATAAAATAGTTATGGGTAAACTAATTGAAGTACGATTGTTATATCGATATTTATTCCATAATTAAGTAGTCATTTGAGAAGTTTACTCAATAATTATTTTCGTTTTTATTTTCTTGATAAATTACATATTTAATTATCCACTTATTTCAATATTCTGTTTTGGTTATCTAATTTTTCTTCAAAATCATACTTAACATTAAATTTTAATTATGTTTTGGTCACTCGACATCAAAAAAGTAATTGTGATGTTATCGTGTCATCATAAGATAATGTCACCTCATCATTTAAAAAAAACTATCACGTCAATAGTTTTGTTTAGCTTATGACGGTGAGTAATCAATACAAAATCAAAACGTAATATTATATATGATTTAAAAAAAATAGTATATAAGGAATAGATGAGTGCCTAAATATGCAATATATATTTTTTGAAATATTTTGACCACAAGTTACAAAAAAAACATGATTGAATGAAAATAGTTAATTAACTAACAATCAATATTCTTTTACTGATGTGGTAAAATTTATATGTCTAAAGTGATGACGTAGTACATGCCACATCATCATTTTAAAAATATAACATTATCATGTCATCACTTATGTATATTTGGTATGAGTCTCATTATCACTTCATACATTTAAGGCATACCATGTCATGATTTATGTACATGTAGTTTGTGTCACGCTATTACTTTAGACACCATATATATGACATATCATTATCACTTCATACATTTAAGGCATACCATGTCATGATTTATGTACATTTAAGGCATACTCATGTGTGGTATATATCATGCCAAAACTTTAAACATTTTAGTCTTGTTATTGACCGTTAATTAACTAATAGATTCTATCGAATATTATTTTATCTCAAAATAAAATCTTAGAAACTAAAATATTTAAAGAAAAAGGGCCAAAGTCATTAGGAATTTTGTCATCATATATTTGGAAAATGATTAATGAATGTTTGCAGCATAGTTCACTTTCATCACAAACCTGTAATCAAGGTAGATCTCTGGTGCAGTCAAGAGGAACTGTATGTCTCTAAGGCTTATGTTTCCGATAGCCTTCTTTCCTTCGCCGTCGACAACAGGTAATCCTCCGATCTTCTTTTTACTCATTAACTTAAATGCTTGAAGCACCGGTTCATCTTCATGTACCTAGAATACATAGATGGATAGCTAACATCTCAAGCTTCAACCATACAACGTTTTGCAGTAGAGCAACTCACCTTGATAAGTCCTGCCGATGTGATCACGGGAAGACCGATCTCAGGAAGTTTCTTAGCTCCCCAGCTTTCGAACCAGTGAAGCCCAGTGCATTCGGCTAGCATGTGAATCACAGCCGACTGTGTGATGATGTTCTTGATCTTCCCATCACCAAAATCAACTATGGGAACACACTTCATCTTGTACTTGGAAAGTAGTAACAACATGGCCAGAAACGAATTCGATTGCTCCAATGCAAGGAATGGCCCCCAGCGGAACGACCCCGAGATGTCCCGAACCTGTATGATATCATGAGTTAACATATTTGATGAATTATTCGTGAATAGTTTGTAATAAGCACATGACACTCTGAGGGAAAGAATTCGAGATGGTCATGGAAATCACAGGTACCACCTTAGTTTCTTATAGAACTCGGACGACGTTAGAGCCTCGAAAAAGTCTCCAGAAATCGACGCATCTGCATTGCAAGGGGAAGATGGCTCCGACTGTAGAATGAACGAAGGGTTATTAAACTACCATGCATTTGATCGTGAAGCAGTTTCGAATTTGATATTCAACCTGTTGAAGAATCCATACAGCAATGCCTGCAAACTCTACCATGCCAATGTATCGATCAATCCAACTCGCATCCTCGGGTGCATCAACATTGACAACAGGTGCACTAAGAATCTTGTTTCGGGCAAGTAATCGAACGGCCTCGGCCAAACTCGCATCCGATCTGATCTCGATCTCTGCAACATAATTTCACACTGTCACACTGTGATCATATGAAAAAAAAGACAATGGTGCAGTGAGTTAAAAACCTTGAGGAGTAGCAGGGAAATCAGAGACAGGGATGCTTTCAAAGCAATCGTTGAGTTTCTCAGTAGGATCAAGCTTTGATTCTGCCCATAAATCCTCCACTTGTAACCCAACGCTATTCTCTCTTCTCATTTGCAAATCCGCCATTTTTTCCCCACAAAAAAACCCAAAATCGAAACTTAAATTTCGATTATTAAAGAACTGAAACGTGAACGGAAGTTTTGAGAATGATACGAAAGGGTTCTTACGCTGGTTTGAAGGAAACAGACGAGAATGGAAAGGTAGTTTTATCCGGATTTTAATGGCGGCCACTCCAATGTGAGGCGGGGAGTGCTTCGCGCCCACGAATTTATAGAATATCTACATTAATACAATGCCAAATCATTTGAATCATTTGCAGCCGTCAGCCTTCCAAGCTGAAAATCATTTGAATTTGCATTGCTTTTTCACTCTTATATATATATACACCATTTTTAATTAAATTATGTTATGCTAAAAGCTAAAGTATTTATAATTAGAGAAAATCGCCTCAGTGACCAAAAATGCCTTATAATATACGATTTTAACCAACTTTTTTTGGATTTGCCAAAATGACCAACAAAATCGCAACGCGAAATAAAAATCGCAACGCGATCCCCAGAATCGCAAATCAGTTTCCAAAATCGCAACGCGATTCTTGACAATCGCAATGCGATAGTACAAATTCGCATTGCGATTTTACAGAATCGCAACGCGAATATGAAAATCGCAACGCGAACACATAAATCGCAACGCGTATCCGTAAATCGCAACGTGTATCCGTAAATCGCAACGCGTATCCGTAAATCGCAATGCGTATCCGTATATCGCAACGCGTATCCGTAAATCACAACGACAATACGTAAAATCGCAACGCGTATCCGTAAATCGCAACGCGAATTTTAAAGCGCCATTATAATCGCTACGCGTATTTTATTTTCAAATTACAAAAACGAATATTAAGACAAAATCCCGTAATCGCAACTCATAACCTAAAACCTAAAATCACAACTCAGTCCCATCTCCATCTCTCACTCTCTACGGCGAAATCCGTCCCCATCTCCGAAGATTTCCGTCCCCATCTCCGGCGAAATCCCTCACAACCATTCACGGTCAGAAATCCCTCACAATATTCAGAAATGGAAAATCAACCTCCGAGGGTTAGTTTTTTTAATTATTTTTATTTTGAAATTTTTGCATTATTGTAGATTTTTCATATTGAAACTGATGATAAGTTTACTGGTCATTTCAATAATAGATTAACCATTTCACTTAGATTTCATTTCGCGTTACGATTCTCTCGTTGCGATTTTCATTTCGCGTTGCTATTCTCTCGTTGCGATTTTCAAGTTAGTATTTGTCTTTGTCTTTGTTCTGTCTTTTGGTTGAAGTAATGCAATCCATTCAAGTTTCAATTTGCAGAAGAGTCGCAACGAGATAAATGAAAATCGCAACGTGAAAATGACTATCTGCAACGAGAAAAATGAAAATCGCAACGAGAATTGCGATTTTCATTTCGCGTTGCGATTCTCTCGTTGCGATTTTCATTTCGCGTTGCGATTCTCTCGTTGCGACAGTCATTCTCTCGTTGCGATTTTCATTTCAACCAAAAGACAAAACAGTGTTGCAAATTTTAGTTTCAAGAATAAACTACTACTTTTTATGTTTATTGTTTTTGGTATATCTTCACAGTGTAGTTTTTGGTATATCTAACTTGGTATGTTTATTGTTTTTGTAGAAAATTTTTTCGGCTTCATTGACATTAAGGAATAAAGTTAGCCTAGCCACTACAATTGCTTCGAAGCTTTCACCTGCACAAAGACAATTGTTTGAGAAAACCTGCTTCGGGCCATGGCTGAGAGTACAACATCCGGGTGGAGATGCTAATTTGACCCATTTGTGGCTTCAGACCATGACATCAAATCTACCCGACAGTATACAACGTGGTGAGGAAGAGATATGGTTTCATTTTCCACCAGCGTATACTTGTTTTGGGCGGAAGGAGTTCTGCTTAATCACTGGTCTACGATTCGGACACGATGATGTAGGCCGGTACACTCGTCATATCGCCCGCCCATCATGGTTATCCCGGGTTTTTCCGGATGAGTCAATGGAGAAGCCGAACCTACACGTCGACGACCTGAAGAAATTGTTTAATAAGAAAGCTGGTTTCACTCGGATGGATGACGTCGATGTTGTCCGAGTATGCCTTATACTACTTGTGTATGCCGGCTTTTTAGGCAGAGACGCCAGACAACCTATTCCTCGGGAGCTAATAATATTGGTAGAGGACCTGAATGCATGGAATCTGTTTCCGTGGGGTTCGTATATATGGAAAGCTACCTGGACTAAGTTGTCTACTGCCTTTGATGACCGCAAAAGTTTGCGTGGCGATGGGTCGAAATACACTTTGTCAGGCTTTGTTTGGGCCTTTAAGGTAAGAATTTCTATATAATGTTTCTAAAATTATAATTAATTATTTAACAATTACTAATTTTGTTATTATATTGTTTGTAGATTTGGATATTCGAGGCTTTCCCCAGCATGCGTACATATGCAATAAAAACGTCAAATGATATTCCCAGGGCTATTTCCTGGAAGAGGAAAAATCTGTTGGATTGGGAAGACTTAATACCATATGCGACAATAAATAATGTAAGTTAACACAAATACTTTCATATAATATATAAACAAGTTATTAATAGTAGACGTTTAACTTTGTTTGAGTTTTTATATTGTTAGGAGGCCAACATTCCATTACAAAGACTGACACCCACGGAGGAAGAGCTTGCCACTGATTGGTGGCAAGCTAGTCAGAGTTTTTTTGATGGCACGGATGATGAGCAGCATCCACTTCCTCATATTCGAGAGCCATCACCTCACCCAGAGCCATCACCCGATCGACCCGACTATACACCTCTAGAACGAGAGCCATCACCTATCCCGTCACATCATCGAGCCTCTTCTCCACCATCACCTCATGATAGGCGACCGGTAAAGAGGCCACGACATTTATCTCCTTGTTATCCACCTCCACGGGATGAGTTACGTGATGAGGTCAATGCCTTGCGTGAGGAGATCGGTACTCTACGCGATAACGATGGTGCATGGCGTGTGGAGGTGTCAACTTTACGTGGTGAGGTTGCCGCTCTACGTGAGATGATAGTATAGTTGCAGAATGAGGTTCATACTCTACGCAACGAGGTAAGTTTAAGATTTTCCATATTTAACTTAATGATAAATTTACTCGTAATTTCACTTAGATTAGCCATTTCACTTAGATTGCTTAGTAAATTTATTTGGTTGCTGCCAATTCTGCTAAACTGTGTATTCTTTAACACTGTGAAATAGTATTTGTCTTTGTTTTGTCTTTTGGTTGAAAGTAAATTTGTTCGGTTGCTGCCAATTCTGCTAAACTGTGTATTCTTTAACACTGTGAAATAGTATTTGTCTTTGTTTTGTCTTTTGGTTGAAAGTAAATTTGTTCGGTTGCTGCCAATTCTGCTAAACTGTGTATTCTTTAACACTGTGAAATAGTATTTGTCTTTGTTTTGTCTTTTGGTTGAAAGTAAATTTGTTCGGTTGCTGCCAATTCTGCTAAACTAATACCCTGAAGTCAGTATTTGTCTTTGTTTTGTCTATTGGTTGAAGTAATGCAATCCATTCAAGTTTCAATTTGCAGAAGAAGAAATAGTTTACTTTCGCAACACGAAACTTAAAATCGCAACGCGAAATGAAAATCGCAACGACAGAATCGCAACGCGAAACCAAAATCGCAACGACAAAATCGCAACGCGAAACCAAAATCGCATTGCGATTTTCATTTCGCGTTGCGATTCTCTCGTTGCGATTTTCATTTCGCATTGCGATTCTGTCGTTGTGATTTTCATTTCGCGTTGCGATTTTGGTTTCGCGTTGCGATTTTGGTTTCTCGTTGCGATTCTCATTTCGCGTTGCGATTTTAAGTTTCGTGTTGCGAAAGTAAACTATTTCTTCTTCTGCAAATTGAAACTTGAATGGATTGCATTACTTCAACCAATAGACAAAACAAAGACAAATACTAACTTCAGGGTATTAGTTTGAAACATATTTTTCTTTGTTATCTGATGTATTTTGTGAACTATGATAGAATAATGACTTGGGTGAATATAATGCAAGTTTGAAACATATTTGTCTTTGTTTTCACTGTTTAAATATCATGTCTGTTTATTTACTGATTTTTGTATTTAATTATTTAGCGGCCCGATAGAGTGGATGCTTTACGTCGGGTTATACTTGCACGACGGAGTTCACGCATCAGACAGCGTGCACGTGCTATTAAGTCTCCGTACACCCCAATAGTGCGAAGACAGCGTTTGACGACGGGAAGCACCAAGTATCTACCTCCCACCGATAGAGATAGAGCTGCAGTAGGCTTGTGGTTTCGGCATTATATGGCTAAATCGATATATATGAGACGCTTCCTACTTGCATCCGCGTTATAAAAATGTCCATAAACAATTGGTAAGTTTATAGACTTTTGGTTTGAAAATGTTTGGTTAAGTACCTAGAATAGAATAATTTGCTGTTTGTAGGTTTTAGATGTGTAGAAAGTGTTGTTTGAGCAAATGTTTGGTTTCTGCAGGTTAATCTCAGAAGTGAACTGCGTGAAAATGATGTATGGCTGCAAAAGTTGATTCAATAGTTTAATTGATTGTTTTTTGATTGTTTAATTGATTTGTAAAAGTTGATTCAATAGTAGATGATTGGAAATAAGAATTATTGCTTATTTTTTGATTGTTTAATTGGTTTGTAAAAGATGATTTGTAAAAGTTGATTTGTGTAATTGATGCGAACATAATTCTTATTTGTGCTTGTTTAATTGATTGAAATGTAATGGTTGATTTTGTTGATTTCAATCTGCATTATGTTGAAATGAAAATCGCAATGCGAAATGAAAATCGCAACGAGAGAATCGCAATGCGAAATGAAAATCGCAATGCGGAAATGAAAATCGCAACGAGAGAATCGCAATGCGATTTTCATTTCGCATTGCGATTTTCATTTCCGCATTGCGATTCTCTCGTTGCGATTTTCATTTCGCATTGCGATTCTCTCGTTGCGATTTTCATTTCGCATTGCGATTTTCATTTCCGCATTGCGATTCTCTCGTTGCGATTTTCATTTCGCATTGCGATTTTCATTTCGCATTGCGATTTTCATTTCCGCATTGCGATTTTCTTGTGGGATTTTCATTTCGCATTGCGATTCTCTCGTTGCAATTGTAATTTCCGTGTTGCGATAGTCAAATGCATGCCTAATAAGTGATAACAACTGAATAACAAGAGTTGGTTAAGTCAAAATGGTTGGCCTGAGTCATTAATTCAACTGAAAATGTTAAAAGTTCACACATAAAATCCACATAATACAACGTTTGCATTTAAAAATCACCTAAGTTAACAGTCCCAAAGGTGAAGCCAATTGTGATTGGGATTTTAAAGATGATTGCCTTTTGCTTGACACCATATGAGCTTTGGATTTTGATGAGGATCCATATTTTGGTAGAGGAAAAGATGATTTTGATGGCACTGGTGATCCACATGTCAACCTTGTATGACCACTTTCCTTGCACCGACTACATGTCGATCTCTTCTTCTCTTCACCCTTAGACGGTATACGATCGTGACTTTTTGGTCGGCCAGGTAGCCTTCTGTCCATGGCTGGTGGCAAAACTGTTTGTAAGTCATCTGGTATGTCCCACTCAGAAGGATGTGGAATAGGGTAGACAATCTCGGCATAAGTCTGTCGATAAACTTCTGTAGTGTAGCAATCCATAGCGTATGCGCTTGAATCATCTTGGTTTAAATGAAGAGCAACTTTTATAACATGGCCACACGGATAACCAGATGTTTGCCATTTCATACAACTACACGTCTTTGCATTTAGATCGACTAGACCATTTAAGTTATTATCCAGTACTTGAAACAAAGTGTTTGAACATGGTTCAACTCTCCATGACGTTGACTTCACAACACGTTTCGTTATCTTTTTTCAGTCCATGGTGTAACACGATGTTCCAATGTTCCTGTAAATTTAAATAAACAATACTTAGTAAAATATATAAATATGATAAGTTACGAATTCAAAGAAATAATACCTGCATGGTTTCTTTTCTTGCAGTACCACTGTTGAATAGAGGCTCGAAAAAACTCCATTAACATAGTAATGGGTAATTTCCGGGAATGACGACTTAGAGCGTTGATTGATTCTGCACTATTAGACGTCATGAAACCATATCTTGCTCCAAGTTGATGTACTCTTGACCATCTTTCAAACCCGACATCTTCTAGTGTTTGAGCACACTGAGGCAAAACACGTCTTAAACAATTTATATGCTTATTGAAATCCACTTCCCGGTAAGCTTTTACAGCCTTCCAGTATGTCCATTTGTGCTTTTTTATACCAGCAGACCTTGATTTTAGATTTCTATACAAATGAACACCACAAAGTCCATGAAAAGCATCTGGGAAACACCTTCTAACAGCGTTGTCAATTGAGTTTGCCCTATCGGATATGATTGTCAGATTGCTAATAGGACCTATGCAATCCCTAAGATGCCCCATAAACCATGTCCATGAATCAGAGGTTTCAGATTTGCCAACCCCGTAAGCTATTGGCAATATCCCATTGTTAGCATCCATAGCTACTGCTAATAAGTTTACTCCAAGGTATCGACCTTTCAAATGTGCTCTGTCAACTATAATAACTGGGCGCATGCAAGTAATAAACGAACGAATCTACAAAATAATATACACAAGAAATATAATCATTTAAATGTGAAATGCATGTAACTAACAAAAATGAGTCAACAAAATTATATTGATTTACTAACCGTAGCACCAATGGCGATAAACAGCAACTCAAAGTGTCCATCTCTATCTGTTTTGATATGAGTTACCGACCCAGGATTTTTTCAGCTTTAAATTGTGACAATAAGCCGGCAGTTGGGCAAACGATGCTTCTGGCGACCCCCTCAACAATTCCAAGGCATAACATTTGGCTCTCCAAGCTTGAGAATATGATATACTAATCTTGAACCGAGCATTCATGTCAGTCATAATTTCATGTCCCCGATATACCCTGCCATTCAAAAACATTAACTCAGCCAGAAAACCACCCAACACCTTTTTGTTTGCCTGTCTATGGTGAGGAAAAACTTGGGTTCTTGAACATGTATGTTTATCAATAAAAGTCCTAACTTGAAACATTTCGCAATCTTTTATTCTCTTTGCAATCATACGCCACGTACAGTTTTTGTCAATCATACACCTTGTTTCGAAACGATCTTTGCTTGATTTGTTAACTTTTAGTTGATAGCCATCTTCCACACATTTCATATACAAAGCTATCTTCAAGTCTTCCTTTGTATCAAAACAATCATCTTTCTTGATACGAATAACTTTTGTGTAACAATCAACTGCTTTCTTTACCAACTCTTCTTCCGGTATCTGAAGTAATTCTGGCATATTCCAGTTATACGCCCGTGGCATTTTCTTTTCTTCGGGGACTTTTTCTTCTTCTTTTTCTTCTTCAGGATTATATGAATTACAGAATGGATGTTCAACATGTTCATTCACAGTCGTAACTTCCTCCTCATTATCATCAACAATACATTCTTCGACAACGGCTGTTTCATCATCAAAATTCGGGTATTGACCAATATCAAAATCATTACACGCAGGGTCTGTTTCTTCTTCTGAAACATCATCAAAATCCGTGTATTGACCAATATCAAAGTCCGGATATTGACCAAGACCAAATTTCGAATAATGACTAGTACTCACAATTTTTTCTGTTGGCTCATCATCGTCTAACTGGTCAATACGAAAACCGGAATTTGGTGCTGAAAGTTGATTGGGATTTGGATTAGAGAAAGGTTGTGGGTTTGAGAAAAACTTAGTTGATTACTACCCGCTACTGACCCAACAATACTACTTCTAGGTTCAACAACATACAATGTAACATCATCTTGTGAAACACTAATGTAAGCAATGAATCATTCAACATCTTCATTGTCGGTTAACAAATAAACTTTACCATTTCTCTGATAAGATAGCCTAAATCCACTTAGGGGCTCTAAATTCAATTTATTTGAAACACGTAGCATTAGAGTTTCATAAGTTAACTTTTGTAAAGACAATTTTAGTTGAAGATTCATGGGTAAAGGCATATATTGTAAAACACCATGAACATTATCCCATGACCCTCCAAAACACAAATCTATCCAAACATGATCAACATTAGATGATTTCATGGTTGTAAATTAATTTACTAAACAGACGAGCTGCGAAACTAAAACCTGTTGCCGGATTGGGAAGGATGTCGTTGGATATAGGAACGGATGTCGCCGGAGAGAGTGATAGATGGAGATGGAATGAGTTGCGATTTAGGGATTTAGTTTATGATTTGCTGCTGTTGCGTAGTTATATACCCAAAATTTCAGTGTTGTGATTTACAGATTCTCGTTGCGATTTACGGATTATCGTTGCGATTTACAGATTCTCGTTGCGATTTACGGATTATCGTTGCGATTTACGGATACGCGTTGCGATATACGGATACGCATTGCGATTTACGGATACGCATTGCTATTTACGGATACACGTTGCGGTTTACGAATACGCGTTGCGATTTATGTGTTCGCGTTGCGATTTTCATATTTGCGTTGCGATTCTTGAAAATCGCAATGCGAATTTGTACTATCGCATTGCGATTTTCAAGAATCGCGTTGCGATTTTGGAAACTGATTTGCGATTCTGGGGATCGCGTTGCGATTTTTATTTCGCGTTGCGATTTTGTTGGTCATTTTGGCAAATCCAAAAAAAGTTGGTTAAAATCGTATATTATAAGGCATTTTTTGTCACTGAGGCGATTTTCTCTTATAATTATTTGTAGGTGTAACTGTAACAGGTAACAGTGAGTATTTAATCGAGTCAAATTAAGTTAAAAAATAATTGAGTTATTTGAGTCCTATTTTATAACTCAAATTTTATTTAAAATTTATTCGAGCTGAGTTATTCGAGTTTCTATTTAAATTTAATCGTAAATGTTATAATGTTATGATACTATTTTATTTCAACTTAAACATTTTTCTATTGGCATATACAATATATACATATGTTTCTTCATTTTTTTTCATGTGATATATATGTGTGTGTATATATATATATATATTATGCAGAATTGAGAGAGACTCAAACTTGAAAATCAATCAATTAATTACTAAAAATTTTGATTTATTCGAGTTCTATTTTATAAGTCGACTCAAATTTAAAAAAAAAATCGAGCTATATCAAATTTATAAAATTACGACTCGAGTTAGGACGAGCCGAATCAAAAAAATTGATATTTTTTAGTCGAATTTTGCTCACCTCTAATAGAAGAATGAGATGCTATATTTTTTTAAAGAACAACAACATCCAATATTCGAATCATATTATATATTCACTCAAATTTTAATTGATAATAAAGTTAGATTTTATTATAGTTTTAATTGATAATTTTAATTATTGATGATTAATTGGTGATTAAATTTATTTAGGTAAGAAACTATTAGTGATTAAGTTTGTTTTTTTCTATAAATATAGAGTAGAATTTATCCTCTAGGTATATGAAAGAAAATTGTGTTAGACAGGTGTAATTTTCTTATGTAATTTTCTTGTGAGATCTACAATCATCGAGTTTATGTGATAAAAGAGTCTCAAATATACACGTGTCTCTGCAGAATACAAGTTCCTTTCACAAGGTGCTGGATTTAAATCTCTTGATGAAGCAATCCAAGTCTTGAGGAGAAAACCAGTCTTCCTTAATCTGCAGTTAGCACAAAAAGTTTGTTCAAGTTGAAATTACAAATTTCCCAAAAAAAAAAAAACAAGAAACATCGACGGTCGAGAAACTTATGAAATAAAGAACAAAACTGCCACATTCTTCTCCGTTTCTCTGTTGGGGAATCTGGTAGTTCAGTTTTGCTTCAGCCACAAAGCAAAATCAGATAAATAACTGAGAAAGAAAAGAATCGTTACCTTTGGTACCAATAGCGGAATCTTCGATATCGCCTCTTTCGTGACAGGCCTCTTCTCAGCTTCAAATATGTCCAGGACAAACCTGGACTTAAAACCAAGTTGCGGTTGTAAAGATATGCAGGAAAGAATATTGATTGTAAAACAAAAGTTACAGATTCATACTTTCTTATCATTGGTTCGAGACGCCTCGGGCCACTCATTTGCAGTGAATCGAGCAATAACATGCAAGTTGTTTGAGTTTTAGATTGCAAAGGTTCATCAAAGTTGCAAAGTATCAAGAGATTCCAATGGCTCCTAAAAGAAATCACAAATTCATATGAACCAAAGAAAGGTAACTTGAAAATTGCAGACCATTATGATTAGTGGCCAGGAAAACTATACCCACCGGTGCACTATCGGAACAAAAACATATTTCTTCGAGAAAATTTGCTTTTGACCGATCCATGCCAACACCCTTTCTTTATACAATTCATCCATGTACCATGAAAACCATAAGCAATCCGGATATGTAAAAGAATCCCTTCGATCATCTGAGAAGCTCTTCCATATGATCCTAAGAACAATCAATGAACTTAAGATTAGGGATGAGGGAGATAGTAAGAGTGTGAGAGTGAGAGGAGTATAAAGAGGGCATACTCAAAGCAGTATGAAAACTGATTGCTATATATTCCTTGTTGCCTGGTGTTTCCGGTGTTAATTCTCCTTCTCGACCTTTTATTAGGACAGAAGCGACCTAGCAAACATCAACGAATCAACTTAAATACACAATTTCTTATGTTTTCCAAGGTACCTTCAAAGCTATATTGTCCCATCTCTTCAGTTTTCTTTAAGTATCTATGTCCCATATCCATTTTCGGCACATTTTCAGACATGGGTATAAGAATATAACCCTCCAAATACATTAAAAAACTTGGAAAACATTAAAGATGCTTGTTTCGATTGCATATCCATAACTAATACTCAAACCAGAGTCCAAATAACATAGCTTCAGAGACAAAGTGATTCACTAAAACATATCATCGAAGAACATGTAACAAAGTATTTTCAAATATCGAAGTTCAAACTACTGTCCATACTATGATATTCATGTAGAGCTCTCAATAAGAAAACATTAGATTTCAAGTAACCAGTCCAAGAATATGAGATTCAAATAATCATTTTGATATGTTTAGGAGAAAATCCAGGGTAGAGAATGAGGTTGAACCCTATGTTACCCGAATTCATAATATTTTCCTTAAAAACTTCACATATTTACATATATGTATATGTATTATATGAAAATACATAAAAAAGTTTCAAGTATAATTTGTATCAAACCCTGACTCGAATTTCTTTTAATTTACGAGAACTTCAAATACATGAAAAAACTTTAAAAAAAAATTAAGCATACCCAGAAACATGACACTTGAACCTAGACTTCAATAATTCTGTTAAAGATATAACAAATTACCATAGCATCCAAATGCAGTGCTACAAATCTGCACCCTTAAACCACCAATCTTAACCTGAGAACATATACCCTTTGCATATAATTACACAGATTGGAAGAAAGAGCATTATCTATAAAATAAAAATCAACAAAATAAAGATATTGATGCTTGAAGTTTGTAGGTTGAAAAATGAAGACATGTGGAGAACAGAAAAACAAAAGTTAATGACAATATGAACTTTACCTGAAATAGAATTGACCCGAACCCAAAACGACCGGAATCAAAAACTGACTCTAGCCAGAAATGACTCAAACACAACTTGAACAAGTAACACCAATGATCTAAACCCATAACCATCCAAAAGAAGTTCGAAACATGCCAAACCCAAAATACATGAACCAAATTTATATGTTCTTAAAACTTTAACTGAATCGATTTAGATTAACCCAATCCAAAACCAAAAACACCCGAGTTTTCAGAAACATAACATACCTAGACTTTCACAACTCCTTTAAATGAAATAAATAATCACCAAACATAACAAATGACCATAGCATACGAATGCAATACTACAAATCTACGCCAAGTGATGAACTGAAAGGTGCTAGAGGTGCTAGAAATTTCAAATTCTTGTATAGTCTAATAATTTCTTTATATTTTATATTCAGGACTTAATTTCACAATTCGTATCATTTATATTTTTAATACAATTTTCTCAGTTCGCACCCTTAACCTAAATCTTGTGTCCTTCCTATCTACACATTCAAACAACCGACCTCAACTTAATAGATACACAAATGGATGAACAAAAAAACATTACCCATCGAAGAAAAAAGAACGAAATGGGAGTTGGTGCTTGTTTCTAAGTGGACGAGACCTGGAGGAAGAGGAGTAAATGAAAATTGTTCCATTACCTGAAGCTGAAACAGTGGAATGGATTACCGCAGTTGAATTTTCTTCTTCATCATCGTCGCCTATGACTTGTATCTCAAGTGGCGTTCTCTTTGCCATCTCCGATATCGAGTGAAAACCCCGAATCAATCAAGGATGGAAATTTGTAAATCATTTGTCTGGGGAGGAGGCTGAGGGGGAATTCCGGGACCAGATTTTCATGATACAATCAACTTTGCATTTATAGCTTTCTTCTAATGCGTTTGTCTTAGAAAAAATAATTAAATATTATACTTAATATAAAATAAGTGTTCAACATATATCTTTTATAATATTATATATTTAAATAAATTTTCATTTAAATTAAATATTTATACACAAATCAAATAATCTCGATAATAAAAAAATTATTATTTCTTAAAATTTAAATTCGAATATCTCAAATATCATGGAAAATAGCGATTGATAGTTTACTTAAATATTAATAATACTTAAACTACAAACTCATCCTATTAGTACAATTTGGTCCGCCGAGCCTATCAATTGCTCATAAAAACTTTTTTAATTTATTAGACACTTCATAAACTTCGATTTTGTCTCATCATCCTTGAAAGAAAAGTCTCATTTTGACAAAACTTAAAGTTAGTTAGTAATAGCACGAACCAAATTATATTAAAAGTAAAAGAATTGTTGTTGTTTTTTGCAGCATCGGATTTGTGTATCATGAATATTATAGGTGTGAGCGTTCAATGCTGAATAATTAAGAGTTAATTTTAAACAGATATTGTCTTGTACTTACCCTATATTAATTAAAAGAAATCCTTAGTAATTAAAAGAGAATATTATTATTTTTAGAGAATCCAGTTTATTTAATAATAAAATAAAATATACCGGTTTTTTGTTAACTATTTTTCAGAAAATGGTTTCTTTAATTTTCATTGTTTGGTTGATGGAAAATAAATGGTCAACGTAATTCATTTTTTTTCAACAAAATTTCCTTTGTATTTTCTGAAAAATTATTTATGGTCTGATTTTTTATAAATCGATTTTTGAACTTTTTACTTCAAAGCATAAATACTCAAAATAATTATTTTATGTATTTAATATTAGTATATTATTCTAGTATCATTTTAATAAAAAAATGAATTATTAAAATATGTTTATTAATCATTTTCAAATATAATATTATATTTTTTAGTATTATAATAATATATTTAATTATATTATAATAATATATGATATGTATTCTTATTTTAATAATATATAATAAAAATATATTATTTATTCTAAGAATAAAATATAAATTATTCCAATATTTTAAAAATACTAGTATTAATTTTCTAATAAATAATATTATTTATTATATTTAATATTTATAATAAATAGTTTTTTTAAAAAAATTACCAACCAATGAAATCTGATTTTATAACCCCCTCAGACCGATGTGGATAGCCCGATCCAATCTGGAGCATCACATTAGGGCCACCGGAGCGACCCACCGTAGAAATAGCGAAAACTTTAAAACTTTTCTTAAAACATGTAAAATCATAAAATGATTTATTATTTTTCAGAAATAAAACGGGTTTATCAGACTGATATAAAAACAAAATACAATATACATGCCCCCTAATCACATGTACCATACTCTGTAAACAATGTCGGAAGAGCTCCCTTACTGAATTCGATAGATGCACTGGTACAATTCTTTTAACCTGCAATGGTGAGTAATAGAGTGAGCTTCAGAAAGCTCAGTAATACAAAACTACCAGATGATGCTACATGACATGCATATAAACGAGAAGCCATCATTTCCTTATTGAATCAAACGTATACCAATTGTGAATAATCTGGGGTTCCATTAGTAGTTCATCGAGTAGAAGCCATGAATCTCAGTTCATAAGAAACCTTTCATACTATCACGTTTTCATGAGGTCGAATAGGATGCCTAGTGTGTTCCATCAGTACGATAAAACCATAATAGGTACACTAATCAAACGATAGTTCAGTAAAATCCCATAAATCATACTGTAGTGGAGCTTTTTAAACTCGTATTTTAAAACCATCTTATAAAGAGTTAACCTAAAGGAACATCTTAGGGCATGAGAGCCTACCCAAGATAGATTTCGGGGTCGTGGGGCCTACCTAAGAACACATCTTAGGGCCGCAGGGCCTACCCGAGAATGATCTCAGGGCATAAGAGCCTACCTAAGAGTCACATTAGGTCCAAAAAAATTTTCCAGCTTGATCAGAGTTGTACTTTACAAATCTGTATCTCCAAGATACAGTTTATACAATGATACAAATCCATAAGCCATCACCGTTAAGTCGGTGCATCCATAAAACAGTAACCATAGACTTCAGTGTACCACATGTTAAAACAATAAAACAATTTTTCAAATTATAAGGAACACAATAGAGAATCCAAATATTTTTCAAATGCATTTTGTAGTTATCAATATGGATAACATGAACTTGTGCAATTTGATCAGATTCCAGTAATAAGATCTTATTGAAGAGAATCGATTTCTAACCGATCTAATCAGACATTTCAGATTGATACTTTAGAATTCCACTAAGTTTCTATGTGCATCAGGAAAACGTTCAGGAATTTTTATACATAATAATTCTAAATTCAGATTTACTGTGAGTGATTCCATTACCCAAACAATCAGGGGTATTCAGGAATATACTTTGAATTCATAGGATTTCAGTCCAATTGAACCAAATAAAGTATTCTGAATCTTTTCCTTCTACGTTACTTCCGTTTTCAAACATGAACGAAGTGATTTTAGATGAAAATATAAAATCGAAGATTCAAGTCATTTACAATCTATGACTATCGACCGTATTATCAAACAACTCGAGTTACACAACTCTCAAACTGATGCATGTCAACAAGTCAATTCATTATCCTTCCAGTGTATTCACTCTTTAATACCATAATGCAGATCCATATATCATCCCCATAATCATCGCTGAATAGATCTCCCAACTATCTTTATTTCATTTCCATGTTTCAACGATATCAGGAAATACAGACATACTTGATTCACGGTTCATAACCCATAAAGACAATTCATCATGTAAGTTTAATAGGGTTTCCAGACTCATCCAAATCACTTATTTAATCCTCATTCATTGAGGTTATCTAGTTTATTTAACAATCATGTCTATTCTTGTTACTTCAGAGTTTTCCCGAGTAATTCAAACGTTTCTAAATTCCAAATACATATTACATTTCCATTCAGTTCAATTTAGTCATATACTAGAGTTATTCTAGTATTCGTGGTTGATTTATCTTACGGATATCCATTACTTACTATCGAATATGCTCTAGCGTTGAGTACTTCCAAAATTATCATCAATTCAAACTTGAGGAAACGAACAAGCATTTAAGTGGTTCATATGTCATTCAAGTATTGATACAACACTAGCATTGGTTGACCGGCTTAAGTTGCGTTCTATAACCTTTAAGAGCAGTACAACATCCATATTTATTTGAATTTCTTAAATAATCCAAGACATTTACTTAGTCTAGGAAATAAGGGTATTTTTGTAATTTTGGTATTCAGTTTTATTCCATTCATTTCAGAGCTCGAGGATATCCAATCATTCCTGAGCTTGGTGATATTCTTGAGTCATTTCCATTATAGGGGTAATTTGGTCATTTTACAGATTCAGTGTATTTTAATCATTTTCTTCCATCCGATCTTACTATTTAATTCAAACTTATCATTTATGTCAGTCCCTTCAAACTATTATAACGATATATCACCATCGATAAATTATTATTCTTCATTTACTTACTCAAGTCGGAGATTTCAAGGTTAAATGCATTCTCAGATGTTACTGACGGATTATCAGAAAATTTTCATACAAAAATAGGACCTCAACAATCAAATCAGTAATTTATCGGTTTAAAAGCAAATTCTCATGTTACTTTCTTTTTCGGAGTCAACTTGGACTATTTTTACCTCTCAAGGGCATTTTCGTAATTTCTTAACCAGATAATTTATGTATTAACTCTTAACGAAAATAATTATACTTTAGAGATCCAATGGTTAATTGCTTTCCCGAACATTCTTTGATCTTGAAATGATTTTTTAACCGACTTCTAGTATCTTGCACAAACCCTCTTGGGTTTAAAAACCGGTTATCCGTATTTCTTAAGTAAAACTAGCATTTCTTATGCACATATGAAATTTTACCGAATCAATATGTCTTTTTAGAGTTATTAACCAACTTACAGAGGCAATTCTTGTCATCTCACAATATAAGGGTATTTTTGTAATTTTATTCTACCGAAGTATTCTCATAATTTCCCATCCAAGTACCTTTAACATTTAACCTTTGATGATATAAAATATAAGTTACAAATACAGAGCTGATTTCTTTATCACCAATCACAAACTTGTAATTTAATTCTAACAATTCCTCAATCTCTTATATTAGTCATTCGATCCGTATTCAGTTACAAAATTTCTACCACATTCATATCGAGTGTATAAATTATTCAACTCCACAAAAGTGACAAACATTATCTTATTCATGCATTTACCAATATTAATATGTTCCATAAAGCATTAGGAGGTAGTAAAATATTACCTCGATTTCTGTGTCATACTGATCGACCATATAAATTCTATTCGAACACCTTTGATCTTTAATTCAACTTCCAATATTTCCTCAAATACATAACAATAAACATTTCATCAAAAATGGGCTTAATTCTGAAAAATGGATCGAATCGGGTGATTAATCAGTGAAAAATAACTTACCGATTTTGAATTTGGCGAAACAGACCTCCGAATCGGAACATCAACAAACCCAAAATATTAGTCTTAAATTCCAGCTCACCAATTTGATTTCTAGCTTCCAATCTTTTTCTAACGAACACGGATAATCTATCGTACAAATACGACTTCCATTAATTTTCCTTGTCATAATAAAAATAACTTATTAGAATCTAATTAATAATTTGGAAACCCAATTTGCATAACTAAAATCTTGAATAGCCAGTAATATTTAATTACTAACATCATGGACTAAATTGATTTTTATTTAAACCATTATGCCATAATCATAATAATACGGAAGCTAAAAGACAAGGTTAAGTTTTTACCAAACTTGGATAACTCAGCTTGTAATTTACCCCTTTAGAACTTTGTCAACTAAAACCCACGTGATTTGCTCATTCATCCTTTATCAGTTTTAAAGGCTCAGGCATTGGACTT